TTATATCGATTGGAAAATAAAATAAGGGATATGGGGGCAAGTCGCAAATTCCGTTTCCCGTCAAAGATTGCATTTGCTTCTCACCACCGATAGGAAGTAACTTGCGCTCGATAAAATTTTCGATCATTTCTATGCGCAATTTTCTGGCGCTCACGTCGAAATTCAAAACCTGACCGGCCTTTTCTTGTCCCCCTCCCTCAAAAAATCTCAATCTACAAAATTTCCGCTTGAAAGCACTTTTGCAACACATAAAACTAGTATATCTTTCCCGAGGAGGAAGAGATAAAAATTGTAGCCAGGCTCCGCGAAACCTCTTTCTCGTAATATAACCAATCTAAAAGTTAAATCAACCGCTTCAAGGGTTACTCTAAGAAATATTTTTTTTTTAAGTATAAGTACATCATATACACATCTTATTTCATAGTATGTAAATGAACAGTCAAAGTTTCTTAAAACTGAGAAACAAAACGATTACATTTGAGCAAGAATATGTTTGTAAATTATTGCATATTTTCTTTAATTTTCAAGTAAACATTATCAAATGCATTGAGAATGTAAATATGAGTTTCACATTCGATACTACACTTTTAGAAAAGCATATTGGTTTCTGTTTTCTTAGATTTTTATCAGAATTTCAAGTTTCAGAAATTAATGAATTAATAACTCAAATTTGAGATTAATAAAAACATCAATACTCGTAATTTGGAATAAATCCAAAAGAAAATATTAATTTCTAAATGTATATTAGTTTTCTTGGTTTTTTAAAGGCATATTTTTTTGCGAAATTGCATTTCTCATTTTCAAGTGGATGTATCCTATTTTAAATATTTATTTATAGATGCCAGAATTTTTCCTCTCTATAAATAGTAATCCCTCTATATTCCAACATAAATATTTTTATGCTGAGGGAATAGCATCATGTCAGGGAGCAATGTGAGGGAATAGCATTTCATATAAAGTCCCTTATTTCATTCCGCCCCGTGATTTTCAGGTATACTTTAGAGTTTTAATATTTAACACCCACATTTTTTTTATCGAAGCATGAACTTTCATATACCTATCTCTACATTTTCAGAGATTCATTCCCTCTACGTCTGAAACGTACATTCGTGATATAATATGCAGTGTGGCTGCAAAACACTGTTAATATATATCGATTCATTTTATTGAACAGATATTAAATAGAGAATGATAAATACACAAATATGACGAACACTTTAAATTAGGCTTACCATGAAAATTTTTATTTGAATCGGCCCCCATCTTTATCGATTACTTAAGATTAACACTTACTACAATTTCCGATGACAGCACGAATCATTTTAAGAGATAATCTGTCCCATTCAAGCAATAAAGAAACCCTGAGAGAGCTCGAACTTCTCTACTGCTTAGCATTAACTTTAGACTCTAAAATACCTCAAACACAATAATCTAAATGATTTAGATCCTGTAAAAAAGGTGGCCTATCTTTTTGCTTGAGCAATTGTCTTTTTGAAATTGATATGGAACCAAGCCTATGTTGCTTCCTCTCCTCAGTGCTATGGTGCAAAATGTTGCTGAAGTATCCAATTATTTTTGGGATACAATTTGTCAGCATGAGGCAATAAATGAGAAGCTAATACTTTATTCTTGCAATATTATTGCATAACTTAAATACTACAAAAGGCAGAAGGTACCAGAAAATATAAACTAAAGCAATCAATTGTAATGATTAGAAATTAAACAAGAGGCCTACTTTTTCTCTGTAACAGATTGCAGAATCCATATATGTTTGCTCATTAACAAAATTTATTTAACATAGAAAACACAACAAGATTTAAGCTTGCAAAAATGCTTGAAAGCGTATAAGATGAGTGGCGTTTCTTTTATTGGCGAATTAACTTGGGGAATTCGTGAGCGGAAAAATAATGCTGTTTGGAACTTTGAAAAGTTTTAACTTATTTAGAGCCATGTTTTACCAACTGTAGTGTCTCATTTTGAAGACTTGTTAATTTATAAAAAATAAAAAATTCCCATTTCTCCCATCTCCATTTGGTTGCGATGAGACCATGACGAAAAAAGCTCTATAAATTTGAACCCAAAGGCATTACGAGGCCAATGCGTGCCGGCCACCTTTACTTCCTAGGCAAGTTGACACCTTTCAATCTGAAACTAAATTTACTTTAAACTGCTACTTAGGATGGAGCAACAATCCTAAATATTCACAAATTTACAATTTGGTGCTTTTAACTATTGTTTCATTGGACTATAAGATTTCTTTTTATTCATACCAAGTTGCTAAAATTCCTTAATTTATTACAGTGTATTGTTAATTATTAGTTAGATATATATGTGTTAGTACCAAATATGTATTAAAAAAGCACGAAACAAAATATTTTCTTGATTTAGGAAAACGAATTGCAGCGACGAAAACTTTTAAACGAATTAACGTACTAAACGATTCATTTGCGCCTTCTTAAGACAAATTAAATCGTGCCGCCAAATGCAGTTTCGTAGGAAAAAAATTCATTTAAGCCACCATTGTTGATTGTTATATAAGTTCGCCTGGTAATTATTTTCTGATTTGCATGTTAAAGTGACTTTCAATTTGCAAATCTTAACTTCAAACTTAGTAAATCTCTAGACACTCCTTATTCGAGTTCTCATTAATGCACTTTCTGCGTTAAGCCAACTTTGTAGCATCTGATTCATTAGAAATTCTCTTTAATTTCACTTATGTTCCCCTGCCTTAGAAGATTACTTTAGACTTCCAGAACCATGAACAAGGTTGACAGGTTAAGTAAACTGAACTCTAAAGGTTATAGGTACTTTGAGAAGAAGAAGAGAGAGAAAAAGCACTACAATTAGTACTGAAAATAATGCTTTCATTCTTTCTTTTTTAGCAAAAAATATTTTTTTAAAAATATATACGTATAAAAGTTTATAAAACTTGAACTATATGAATAGTTATTATCAGTATTTATCTTTTTCTTAAACTTTTTCTTTAACTTTTTTTAATTGTTTTATTCTCAAGAAGGCTAATGACAATAATGCATGTTTTCAAAACAAATACTACAACAAGCGATACAGCAAACTTCTCTACACTGAGAAAAAAATTATGGTCAAAACTACTCGAATATCGTAAAAGTTATCGTGTTTCTGGCTCTATGGGAACACCAAAATCTTCTTAAATTTTATCGAAGCAATTTTGTAATGATTTTGTCGCAATAAATATGGTTTTATAATGTGTGATTAAATTTGGTAAAATTGATAATATTGCTTTGGTAGTAATTTTGCTTAAATTAACAATGAAATATAGTTTTATAAATGCAATATATATATATATATATATATATATGTTTGAAAAATTAGACTACATTTNATATATATATATGATGTTATGTTTTATATGTGTGATATATTTGGTAAATCTGGAATTTGTTTTGTTGAACACCGCACTATCTTTGAACATGGCATAAAAACCATTTGTTTGGTTAAACTTAGCTTCCAGTTTAGTATTTTTTACAAAATGTGTGGTATCAAGTAAATTAAGTAATATTGAGTAGTAACTGCAATTCTGAAAACCAAATTTTCTGGTTTTACCATATCAACAGAAACACTATCAAATTGAGGGTTTAAATGTCGTATATTTTATTAAGCAGAATTATTTTTTTTTTTACCATAGATGTTAAACGATGCAGCACGGTAATTTTACAGGAATTTTTTCCTCCGCTTAATATGAGTATTTGAATTTTGGAGTAAATTCAAGTCACTACCTCAAAGACCCATAATTATTTTAAAACAGTTTTAAATTTTCATATTTTTAATATTTAGATTTCGAAAAAAATGGTTCTCCAAATTTTCTTCATCATTTTTAATAAATGAGAAAAAATTATCGTGACAGTGATTTTTTTTTCTTCTGAGGGGTATCTAAAAATATTTAAAAATGTTAAAAATAACGTAAACATTAAAAAAAATTTAGAATGTATTCAAAAAGTTTCTTAGCATATATGTTAAAAATTAGAAAACAATTAGTAGGTTTAAATGAAAGCTGTAAAAATCACATTAGTCAGAATGTTTAAGGAAAAATAATAGTATTTCTCAAACAATTAATGGGTTGAATTAATTTTTATACAAAACACATTAAACACTGCAGAAAATATTATTTGGAGATATTGAAAGCCATATAGGTCAATGTGTTATAGGCTTTTCTTAATAGCACGGTTTTTTTCTTTCACGCAAAATCATTTTGTATTTTATTTAGCCGCGCTTTAATTAAAATGTGTGATTGTGCCATGCGCCAATTTTTAAACAAGTAAAAATCACTGGAATACTCAAGTCGGTAGATTTACGCATGGAGAAAAAATTAGAGTTATTTTTCAGCATATAATATGTGAAATAATGTGTGATTTTATGGACTTCATAATGTTCTGAAATATATTTATACAAAAGTTCCAACATTTCCCAACTGAATTAGACTTCTTTTATATATTCTTTTACTCAAGACTCTCAAAATTTAAGAAAAAAAATAAGAAAAAAATAAAAATCTGACAAATCATTGATTATATAAAACTAGAGCAAAGTGAGACATATGTCATTTAATGCAAACTGAATGATATGAGCAGACATAAATTCTAAAGTCTGTTCTTATCTTCCAGTTTCAAATAGAAAATTAACCAATTTCAGTTGTTTTTAATTCATTTTTATCCTTAATTAGGTCTGATAATTATTCCTTACATTTTGTTATATTTTTCTAATTTGTTTCATTAGATTTTTATTTACTTTTGTTTATTTACTAGTTCATTACAAGAATTAATTTTATAATCAGTGATTATATTGATCCGCTTGTTCATTATTATGCCATAAATATTAATATTACTCTTAACTGTTGAATTAGTGTAAGCCAATTTCTATATAACTCACAATTTTAGAGGCTATTGTTAAAAATAGTTGTATTTTACCTTAAAATAAATATTGATGAGGCACATAAAGTAAATAAGATAAACAAAATTTATCCTTACCCTGATTTTGTCAACATGTAAAGGCCTTAAACTAGGATCATACAATAGACCTGCTGGATCAATGTCAACGGGTGATTGTCGCCTTCCTTTACTGCATAAACTCCATTCTAAATTCAGCAGTCCCCAGAAATCAGGACCTAATATAATAAAGAAATTTTTCTTTAAATTCCAAGCAGATTTAAAATTTAAACAAAAACATTATTCAAACTGACAAATAAAAATTCATCCCTTTTTTAAATTTGTTTTCTGTTTATAATACTAGTTTCTGTTTTCTTATCCTATAGGATACAGATGCTATAAGCCTAAAATTTCAGAAAGATTTGTTGGGAGAACATTAGTTTAATTCCACAAATCAATAAACAAATTACTCACATTTTACTTATTCATGCATAATCCAGCATACAAAGTAGTAAAACAATTTTATTCGGGCAAATGAATTTGATTTGTAAAACTATGAATGCGTATTACAGAAGATTAAGTATTACCAATAGAGTTATGCACATTTTAAGAAGTGACAATTATTGTAACTAAGTAACTTTATCATATAATAATTATTGTAACTAAATAACTTTATCATATAATATAGCTATCTTAAATATTAAAGCAAACAATTAATAAAACAATGAGTTACGAAGGCGAATTTTATAAAAACAAAAATAGGCAATGAAAAAAGGAGAAACTTTTAATATACGATTACAACTTCAATAGAAAATTTAAAAAATAACGATAATTATGCAAATAAGTTACAACGACGATGGCGTTCTGAAGTCTCAGGCTAGATATTTTAATTTTAAAACAAAAATTAAAATTAAAATTACTTGGTTTTTCAACAGCATTTTTGTACTTATGGAACATATTTTGCATGTTTTTTTAACAAAAAACAAACTTATGAACCTTTTTAAAGTGAGATATTTAAACAACAAAAAGCTGAGAGAAGTAATAAAAAATATATACAGGGGAAGGGGATATATGCGCAGCAGCATTCCCTTCCATTGGTCGTTGCACGTCGCAACGAGTGAGTCAAGAATTTGACTTAAGACTTGAAAGTCTGAAGCACCACCTAAAGTTCACACATTAAACATTAGTGAAAAAAAATCGTGCGATGTTCCCTAATTGGGCAAAATAAAGTTAGTTGATATATTAATATCTTATTTGTTATAAGCCTTCCAAAATCCGGCGGACACTGCATATATACTGGCCGGGGGCATTGCCGCTGCACATCGAATTGACTAACAGAATTAAGGTATCTGACCAGTGGAAAAACATGATTTTGGGCTAAATTTGTGAAATTGAGTGTCTTATAAATTTAGAATCCCTGTACTTTTATCTGTACTTTAATTATGTACAAAGTTTAAGAAGTTTTTGTGCAGGATGATAACAATGGATAGAATAATAATTTTAAGTCTTAAATTGTGTTTATCTCAAGATTTTTTCACACTTTAAACCACCTTAAACATACAATATCTCGTGTTGTTTTTTAAATGAATGTCTACAATTTTTCATGACTATTTTAGATTATAGCATACATGTTTTGAATTACAAATTAAGAAAAAAAATATTATTTCATTTTCTATGCATGCTTTCTCCCAAGGGCAAGTGCGGAAACTTATACATTTTTGCTTTCTCTACTATAGTGATCCCCAACTCAGTAGTATATGTACTTGCTTTTTATATAGTAGCTCAAAACATAGTTGATAGCCACCTAAATAAAATACTTAAAGTATTTTTTGCTTTAGGAGTTCGAAATTTGTTTTTCAGTGTTTAGCAAAACAATTTCTTATTTTTTCCTGAAAATGGCCATCACTAGCTTTACAAGATTTTACACATAATAAAACAAATAAACTGGTTTGTTAAAATGTTACATTAATATTTATAACAATGTTGTTGAAACTAGTAGCTTCGTAAAAAAATTATTTTTGGAAAATTTTTATTAAAATGACTTGATTTTGCTAAGAAAAATATTACATTCTAGATACAAGAACATTTAAAAGAATTTTCTTTTTATTACAGATTTAAGCAAGCTCTGCAGTCCACCAATAAACAAATAATACAAAGCTAAAGGTTCTTTTTTTATAATATTCAGAATGCATTTCGGATCAAAAAAGAAATCTCCTTGTGTTTGGAGGAATTTTTCCTTCTCGCTCAAAAAAAGGGAACGAAATTAGCAGGAAAACTGGGAGAAATTAATATATCCTAGGAGAGTCCCAGCTGTTGAGTGATAAGTGTGCTGAAGGCGATTAATAAAATGCTCCTAGAAAGAGTTCGAATGATCGATAAGGCGTTGCTTTATATACAGTGAGCTTGCTATTAGTCAAGCAAGAACAACATAGGAATTGCATGAAAGTCTACATCTGAAGTACATTGCAAAGGAATGAAGGTTTTCTTTACTTTTATTCGAGAAATAATTGTTCTTTCTTGAATTTCCGATTACACTTCACTTTATTTCATCCAATATAAACTACCGAATCGAAAAATAGATTGAACACGAGATTCCGTGTAGTTACAAAAGTTTAACTATTTATTTTAAGATGCGAATCAGCATTCGGGGATAAAAATTATCGAAAATAAATACTAAACGTCCTGAACGTTTCATAGAAAGAAAGGATTAGATCTATGAAGCCATGCACACCAATGTTTCCAATGGTGACATCTTCACATCAAACTATTACTCAGTAATGTTCTAATTTAAGTACTTCATAAATTTCTACTATTTATACTACATAAAAACTCATTACCTAGTATCACATGGTTTCTTACGTGGAAATCGTATTTTTTCCAACAAAAATACTGTTCTCTACAATATAAAAATGTGAAAAACCTAATTCATAATTTTAATATTATTACAAATACTTTAAAATGGATTTTTTAAAGCTCTAAAAGTAAATTTAACAATCGATTATATTTATGTAAGATTAATTAAAATACTTAGTTTAGTAAAAAATTTATGCGGTGAGTCATCAATAAGTGTGTAGAAGAATTGATTGTTTATTTTTCTCTCATCATCTCTTATTTAAAAATATACACATATGCTCATAATTTATTAAACTTTGTATTTTTTAAAGCTTTATTACCACTAAAAAGTGATAAAAAAATATTGATTGAAAAAAAAACAACTGGAAGCTAAACTAGTTTATGCAACTAAAATACACAGATAGTCAATATTCTGCAGTACTGAACTATTGCTACTATATATCCTTTATATGAAAAGTACAAACGTCGTTTAAAAAATCATTAAAATCGAAATACACTAAGATTTTTAGCCTTTTTTTTCATATGGTCACGGCGATTTAGCTGTAATTCTAATAATATAGGACTTATTATTTTAGTTGAGAAGTTTCTGCGTAATATGTCATTTCATATAGGAATGTCATATGTCATATAGGAATTAAGGTATGAGGAAAATATTCTATAATATAATTAGACTTATGAATGAATTTGTGAGGGAATTTCTCTTATATCAAACATTTACTTAGACAGTTCTGGATGTATCAACCGTCCTTTTCCTAAATTTGTAAATAAATGCACAGAATTATTTAAATTTTCTTGGATTCAAAATACAATTGGTATTTTTTTAAATTTTAAAAAAAATCATATTTTTTTATTCACCCTAACAATTTGTACTGTTCTATATTATACATATATTTTTTTCATTTGGTGCAATTTTCATTCAAAATACGGGGATCATCAAAGTTAAGCTTGCACAAATCTTGAAATGCTTTAAATTCTGCCTTTCAATTTAGGTTTTGTTTCTACGGTACTTAGTATTGTTTAACATATCGAAGTGAAAAATCATCCCGTTAATCTTTTTTTTTCTTTCAATTTAGTAAACTTCGTGATTAAACTTCGTGATTAAATCTCTAATTTTAAAGAAAAAGATGTGTCCTCCACATGTCTCTAATTACTATCTTAATTACTAATCATCTTTGGAATTTACTGTTAAGAAAGAGTTTGGAAAACATCCTTAAACAACCTATTTAGCTAAGCATAAAACTTCTTTGTTTCTTCTATAACGCTACGCAAGTAAAATTAATATTGATAATTTTTCCAGATTGATTGGTTTTATTGGATTATTGATCAATACAAAGTTTTTCATTTGTTGTATTATAGGATTATTTGTTGTTATAATTTTATTAAACTACAACTATTTACTGGATAATTATGACACATTTGATTAAAATAAATATTTTATCTATAAAATAAATACAATTTATTTGAATTTTTTTAGTATCTTTAATTTTCTTTAGTATTTCACTTGAAACATTTTCTGTTACCAATTTTAAAAAACCTTAATAAAAAATAAAATTTTAAAATATTGCACTTTTTGAAATTTTTACTAAACTTTTATATTTTAATTATTTTATTTAATAAGTTCAAGTAATAACTTTAACTTATAATTGTGACTAAATTCCAAAAATATATATTTATACGTAGTATAATTTTTTTTTGCTCAACAACTTAACTAAGAACTACAACTCAGCAACTAAACTAAGAAAAATAATGTTTGTACACTCTTTTGCTTTGCACACTGTAAAAAATAGATACCTGAATTCCTTCCGTTTTTGATGAAACCATACCCTAATATATGATCTTCGTCAAAGTGTCGAAATAAGTATCGTTACTTTTTTAAGAAACGAATTTGGTCTAAAGTATATATAAAAGTACATATTTCGTCATTCTAGATGACAATCTTCCCCACCTAGCACCATGAAGTTTGGAGTTGAGGAAACATTTTTGTCACGAACTAGACAGTTTGTCTTTCGTCACAAATTTCGTCCCGTGATTTCTTGACGAAATGATGATCAAAAGTAAATACTACTCAATGATGGATGAATAGTCAAGAGCGAGAATTTTATTTCTGGGAGTGCAGTTGAATTATTAAGAGATAGATAACGCACTATGAAATTTACTTACAATAAATTCCAATTCTATATTAAGGCCAAAGTTATGCATCATCGTTTCATCAAACGTTTCGTATCATCGACAACGAAGTCACAAATTTAAAGTCACAAGTAAGTTTTTTATGTATAAATATTAAGATCCTTTCAAAACAAAAATTCAAAATTAAAAAATTCATCGATTCAAAGCAAGTCAAATCAAAAAAACCAATCAGCAGAAACATAATGTTTACAGCTGTAAGAAAAAGGTTACCCATTGCGGAT